CATGCAAAACTGTAAGAATACTGGCTACATGGATAATAAATACTAATATATTTTTTACATTTTGCAGATTTTTACATCTTATATAACATACATATTTATAGATATTTAAAGAACATGTAGTAATCTCTGGAATCTCTGGTATATACGTACTATCCATCCATTCATAAACAATTTCAATAATTGAACATGGACTTTAAAAATAGATCTGGGAGCTATGTAATGTAGAGACATCCTGTATGAAAGCTAGACAACTTTGGGTTCTAACACTGGAGTACGTTTATATTGTTCATGGTCATATAAGGACAACTTGACTTTGAAATGATTTGTCTTTGTGATTGGTACAGGACAGAACGCATCTGCAATTGCACTTGCCCTCTGTGTTTGTACATCTGGCCCCTCCTGTTGTCTGAACACATTTGTGAATCTCTAGGTAAGATTCCTTTTGTTTGCCCAAATATTAGGTGCATGTTGTGGTCTCATTGATAATGTTTTGGTTTAGTCAATCCATCTCCACAGATCACTGCCATTTTGTGATTTCCCAGCCTTAGCTACATGTGTTTTCTTTCAAACTTTACTCATCAACTCCATTTTTGGCCTGATTATCTGATGTAACAAGATGTTAACTGGGATTTGTTATCTTAAAATTCCAGCTACAGTTCCTAAGACACAAGATGTTACCTCTACATTCTAAATAAAGGCACTAGACCAGATAAATGGGACTTAATTAAAGCTAGTAACTGATTTAGAGACCTTCACCCCCCACAGCCCAAGAGGTCAAAAATTTGAAAGGAAATTCAAAGCGGAGAACTCAAGGAGTTAGAGGGCTGTTGCTTTTTTACCCCATCTCTATGAGGAAATAGGTGCCTCTCTCCTCCAAGCCAATTTAGACTCTGTTTAAACAGAAAGGATTCTTTCTGTCATATATCAGTAAGTCTGAGCCAGCTGGCTGGTACCTTCAGTTACCTGCTAATTCCTGACCTTTCTCCCATGGTCACAAGAGGGCTGCCCCAGATCCATGGCCATTAAAAAAAAAAAAAAAAAAAAAAGAAGGAGAAGAGCTCATCTCAAGGACACAGATTATTTTTTTAAAATCCACATTGTTTTCATTGGCATATTTGTTCTTTTATAAATACCGCATTGCCTTGATTGCTGTAGTTGTACAGTAAGTCTTGAGGTCGAGTAGTGTCAGTCCTCCGGCTTTGTTCTTCTTTATTTTTTCAGGAGCATGTCAACAGACTTTCTATTCAGTTTCATTTGCCAATATTCTAACACTTGGCCACCCCTTGCTGAGAGGCTGGAAAAGCCATATTTAATATTTCAACTCAACATGCAGAGTTGGATATGCCCGTTGGGTTTGCCATCTGCTGGTGTCTGCTGTAAGTGTAGATGTTGGAAGGCCTTGGAAACCACAAATGTACCCCATGAATGAGTCAGCACTGGGAGCCTGCCATGAAGAAGAATACCAATAGCAAAAAACAAAACCAAAACCAAAAACTATAACCAACACTTGCTAACTAGAAGGTCCTTTGCTCCTTTTCTGTAATTCCCCTACCTACTGCCTTGGCCCTGGAAAATACAGTAGATGAAAGGGCCAGAAGATGAGGGAGGCTTGAAAGACCAGACCACACCCCTTTCCTTCATTGCAAGTCTCTGATCCAGGCAGACCTAAGCTGATGGAATGGGAAAACCCCCGAATTTGATGTAAGATGGATGTTTTAACTGGACTGGACTTTTAGATTTTTATTTAATTTAGGTTTTTAGTATATTAAATGACAAGGAAGCCATGGGACACGCTGAGAAAATGTTAAAGGACAGGAAGAGGAGATCTGACACAGGATCTTAGTTGGGGGCCTTGTCTGAAGGAAGATAAATCCACTTCCTGATTGTGCCACCACTGAGTTCAGCCCCTTCAACAAAGTGGTTATGCTGGAAACTATAAACTCTTTTAATCTTGGCTGTTCACCCAAAGCCCTGACTCTGAATAGGTCTTCCTGGCTCTCACCTGGTGACCTTTTCATTGCTGTAGGGATGTTGGATCTGTTAGTACAAGACAACTTTGGGAGAGTATCTGGGGTCTGTGGGACAGGAGAAAGCCCAGGAGGAGTATTTAGGGAAGATAAACTGTAACAGGATAACAACAAATCCTGGTCTATCACTAACCGCCTTTGTGATCTCTCACTAGCATTGAGTTTCCTACTCTGAAATGATTGGGCTAAAGAAAGTGATTGTAACAGATACCTCTGGTAATGGCTGCCTGGCCCTCTCCATTCCCAGGATATTGTTTATGATGCCTAAAGGTTCTGTGGATTCATGTGACCCAGCTTCCCTCCAGAGCTAGTGGACCAGGGAAAAATAGCTGTCCCAGGCCAGGGCAGGCTCTTTCCTGGTATTCTTGAATAGGGGGACACAGAGACCAAACAATGTTAACACTGACTATCATTAGTAAGTGAGGGCAGCCCACATCCACCTGCTGCTGCTGGTCCCAGAGCCCAGCTTCCTGCTCTTCTTGGGGCTTGATGGCTCAACTCTTTCTTGGTTTTCATGAAGTTCCTGATAGCCTTTCAGGGAATTCCTCACTTGGCTTAAGTTGCCCAGAACTGTTTTCCATGATGTGCAAACCAAGGTACTTTCTTTTTTTGAAGGGTCCATTCACTTCCACAATTCTATTATTCTTTGATCTAATGGTACCTGTTACTCTTGAACATAGTTGGATTGAAACCTTGCGTGTTGATAACCACAGACAACTGGCAGCTTTGGCACTGGTAAGTAACTGCAGTTTTTGGCAGTCTTTATGCTAATGAATACTAGAGATAGCCCTTTTAATAACATCAGATTTTTAAATTAGGTAAATTTTGCACTTGTTGCACATGGTGAACATTTTTAGTTTAATAGTTCACATTAGAGATATAAGTGATGCTTATAGAAAAGGATTTTAGTTTCCAATGCAAGAAATAAATGAGCCACGCCAAATTTGCCAAGTCACCATATCAAAGGTACACACTGAGTCTAAAGAGTTGAGTGTATACTTCAATTGGTTTATCGCTTAAATCTCATGCAGTATCCCCTCATGGTATTGAATGCAGTAGGTATTTTGAGGTCAATTCTCCTTGATGATGCTGAACATTAAAAAAGGTGAATTCAAATTAAACATATTTTGTCTTAGATGCCATACATTATTACTGTAATATTTACAGTAATAATTACTGTAATGTAACATACATTATTACTATAATCTGATGTGGTATAGTTGTCAAATGCCTATCAAAATAACTTTAAAATGAAAATGCTTAACCAGAATACTAACGTTTAGAGGTGTGACTAGTCCCTTTACCATGAAACTTCCTAATCATGGACTCTTCATGGTTCTTTAGAAAATTATTGTTATCGATTTCCCAAAGTGCAAGGCATGCCACTTGATGGATAGAAAGCAATATTGTAGAGAAGAAATAGGATTACATTTGTGATACTGGGTTTTGGGATGTTGCCACCTTGGCCCAGGGGGGATGATAAGCAAGCTGAAACTAAGAGTTATGTGAGTTGGCCTAGAATTAACTTGATTAATAGTAGTAGCATGGCCATAATGTTTGTACAAATAGAGGCATGTACTGACCCCAACATAATTTATTCATTTATAACAAAGATAAAGAAATATATAAAAAGTATAGAAAGAACCAACTAAAGCCTGAAAGTATAATCACAGGGTTGTCTGTTTTTGTTTAATTTTTTTAAAATTTAGTTTTGCTAGAGATCTATAAACCTTTCTTTATAGGAAGTTTTTGCTTGGAAAACCATATATGAAAAGTATTTCACCAATTCTATTCTTTCTGGATAAGTAATGAAATGTACAGTTTTACTACAATTTTCTCACCTTTTGAACACCTAGTGTTTAGGGCAGTGCATCTGACATCCAGCAAATTGCCTGGTACCTAGCATGCATGCAAAAAACATTTGTTAAATGAATTAAAATGAACACATAAATACTTAGATTAAAAAAAATCAATGAAAGTCTCCCTTGCCGTGCATACTTCCATGCAGCTCTTACCTATCTAGTAGCTCATTACGCATTTCCATTTCCTGGTGCCAGCATGATCTGTTGATGTATCAAATAAAAAAGTACCAAACTAAATTTGTATTTTTCCTACTCAAGCCTGCTCCTCCTTCTTGTTTTCCAGTTCTCTGAATGCAACCATAATCCTCCTACTCACCCACTGACAAGTTAACATAGATCCTATTCTGTTTCTACTGATTTTCCCCCATCCAGGTCTCTGCTTCTACTGTCCTCAGCCTCCACTTCCTTTTGCATGGGCCAGTGAAAACCTTCTATCTTCCTTGTCTCTTCTTACCAACTATTCCTAATTTTGTTGCTTGACTGTACCCCCTACTTCCCCCATAAAGAAAAAATAATGGTTAAGAGTCTGGATTCTGGCTCTCATTTATACTGTTGTGATCAAGAACTTAAGACTCTGGAGACAAACCTACTGATTTATGGTCTGCCTTTCAAGGACTTCTTTTCCAACTTTCTCACTTTGTGGTCTAGCCAAGATACCTCCCTCCATCTCTAACCTAACTTTTAAAGACCAGTTCACCTTACCACTTTCCTGAAATAATCTTCCTCTACTAGTGACTGCCTTAGCATGGCTCCTATACATCTCACTACCTGCTTTGTGCAAATTACACGCATCCTTTAAAATTAAAAAAAAAAAATTTCTAGGAGAACACAAGTTTCTTGAAGGTAGGATATTAATTGTATACATATATATTTTTTCCAGTAAGTCACAGTGTGATTTGAACACTAGCTGCTCGAGAAATATCTGTGAATGACACCAGCTCCCAGCACGAACGGGCTGGACCCTTATTAGGAGAATGAGGTCGAGTCTAGAGGAAACAGCGCAAACCCTCTCACCCCGCCCACCCGCCGGCCACTGAGCGCGAGCCTGCGGCTCCCGGGACACGCGGCCCCGCCCCTCCGCGCGCCGGCGCCAGTGCCAGGGCGCACGCGCAGGGCTCCAGGAGGCCGCGCAGAAGAGCGCCCCTTCGACGGCCCCTCCCCCAACTTTCACCGCGTGAGCCGGGAACCCGTCGCCCTGGCTGCTTGGTCGCCGTGGTAGGTCGTTGTCATGGCCTCTTCGTGGGATGAGCTGACCCTTGCGTTTTCTAGCATGTCTATGTTCCCCTTTTTTGACATCGCCCACTACCTGGTATCCGTGATGGCGCTGAAGCGTCAGCCGGGTGAGTGCGGGGCGCCTGGGAGCGGCCCCCTTAGGTGAGGACGGCCTGAGCCGGGTGAGCGGGCAAGCTACCTCTACCCTAGAGAGTCCTGTAGTCCAGCTAGAGGGTTGCAAAAGGTCGGCTCCATCGACCCCTCCAGTGCGGATGGGGCCACTGAGGCCGGGAAGGGAGGTGGTCCTGCTACTCGTCAAAGGAGGCGCGACCTGGGGTCCGAGACGTCTGGGGCTGGACCTACAACGCGGGAAGGACTCCCGGGACAGGTGACTGGGAGGCGCTGCAGCTGGCGGAGCCCTGGTACGGCCGTTGCCTGCCCGGGATTTGCGCTGTCTCCTAGGGGTGCCACCACTTCAGTATTTAAAAGTCACCTGGGAACAAAGCTCCCAGACAGCGAATCTGACTTAGTCGCTTGGCGTAATGGATAGTTATGGATCACTCTCCAGTTTTGAAAGTTGTATAAACACTGATCGGTACACCAAAAGCCTCAAGTAAGCACACCAGTCAGGCATACTTCCTCTTACTGCACTTGGCTTTACTGAGCGTCTAGTTCACATGCAGAAGGCAGCACCTCCCTCCTCCACCCCTCCCCAGCGAAAGGATTACCGCTAGCCCGATTGCTTTCCTTTATTGCGCTGGTGGTCTGGAACGAAGGGTTTGGGGCTGGGGGATGGTGCTGTACTTACGGACTGCTGGTTTTTCAAACCCGTGTACCTCAGACGTATTTTTCATTTACGTTGAAGTTTGTCGCCTAGTCTAAAGCGTTGTTTGGTAGAAGTTTTGACGTAGGTAAGGGCAATGTTATTGTATTAGATAAGGACAGATAATCTGCGTAAGATACTGCTTCCTTGATTAGAAAAGAAATACATTTTCTTCCATATTCAGTAGTTGTTATTTTCTTGTCTAGGCAAAATCAGAGGTTCTTAAAGTGTGTTACAGGAACCCCTGGGGTTCCCTGACACTCGCAGGTCACACTTATTTTCATAATAATATGCAGATGTTATTTGTCTTCCCATTTACTCACAAGTGTACAGTGGAGTTTTTCTAGAGACTATGTGATCAGTGATACTGTAACAGATTGAATGCAGAAGCAGATATGTGAATCCAGCTTTTTTCTACTTGAAGCCAGACTTTAAAGAGATTTGCTAAAATATTAAAGTGTGGCTTTTCTCGCTGAATGATTTTTGCTTTGGAAAACAGCTGTTTTCGTACAGAATACCTTATTTACGTTAACACTTAATGCACTTAATATTTTTAAAATGAACACCTGAAGAACTATTCAAAAATTTTCTGTTATAATTTCTAATATACTAAATATTGATACATGAAACCCGCATAAGCAAAAGGTCCTTGATGTCTTTAAGAATTTTTTTTGAAGTCAGGTTTTTCTAAAGGTTTAGTTTGTATGCATTGTATTCACCCTTTTAAATGTAAAGGTCTTTGATTTTTGGATGAACACATACAAGTCACGGAACCACCGCTACACACAGTTTCGTCACCCAATGGAGATTCCCTCCTGCCCTTTTGTAGTCAGCCTTCCCTCAGCCTTGGGCAGCCATTCCTGTGCTCACTAAGTTTTAGGGGTACAGAGGAGTCCTGAAACCAAAAAATTTGAGAACCACTGGACTAATTGAATGCTATCACATAATGCATGTGGTGTGAAACTATTTTATATTTCAGTGCTAGTACTTGTAGACCTGTAAAAATGATAAAATTCACACAAAAAGTATACTGCACCTATTTAAGCTTTTACCAGGAGTGTGTTAGATTGCCTTCCATAGTGTTGGCTTTTATCAGTCTTAATATCTTGTCTTAAATATCTTGTTATTCTAATGATCAGAAAACATAGTTTTTATTTGCATAGCTTTATTTAACTATCTATTTATAGTTAATAATAAGCTTGTACTTCTTAACTTTAGTGGTCACTTGTATTTCCATTCTGTAAATCTGTTGAGTTGATCATATTTTTTTCCAATTTAAAAAATAATGTAATATGTTTTAAAAAAATGACTCTTTCTTTCTTGGACAAAAGTCTTATTTGTTTGGTGTATTTTAATTTTTTAGGAATTTTGATTTGCCAGTATTTTACACAAATTTTTAGTTAAAATTGGCAACTTTTTCCCTGTCTCCTGTGACTGAGTCTCTAGAACTGAGACTATAGTACAATAAAACCACAGTTTATCTGTATACTACTTACCACGGCTTTTCTTATTACCATGCTTCTTCTTAAACATGTTACTCTTTGAGACTCTGACTTTTGGAATGTATTTTTTACTACTGCTAGTACCTCACTCCCCACTTTCCTACCATTTACATTTTATGATTTGTAGCCTTTACCTAGGTCTTTAAAAATGGTAGTGGAGGCAACAGAATAAAGGAGGATTAACTCTTTCTGTCTGTAGTAGATGAGGATAACGTCCCTTTTTTATCTGGTTCGGCTGTAGGCCTTCACATCCAAGGAGATGATGATTTTCCCCTTTTCTCTTTCTGTGTGACTTGGGCTGCTTAAGCAAGGATATCAACGTATTTAATAAATTTGGTGGTTTTTAAAAATTTCTTAGTTTACCTCCGTTTATCTCATAACTTTGGTTCCTACTGAACCCTGGCATATGATTGTGGTTTTCAGTTTTGGCCAGTAGAATAAATTTCTGTTTTGTTTTGTTTCTGTTTTCCTAGGTATTTTATTAGGAGGTTGTAAAACACTGCTTTGGGAGCTGTTAGAAACCATTTTAACAGAAAGTTTACATCATCAATTTTAATCTCCCATCTTATATTTTTCATAGCTTCTCTGTCTCATTTAAATCTTCATTAAAATAAACACATTTCTTTAGTTCTCCATTCATATCCAATTGCTATTTTCTGTGAGAGTTTCTGAAAATTTAATCTACAATTATTTCTACTTGATTTTTACATTCAAAATCTGTTGTTTTAATTCTTCTATCACTCTTTTGCTCACTTCTCTCAAATGTTCGTTGAAACTACTGCATATCAGGCACTACATTAGATGTTGAGGATACCAGGATGAAAGATACTATTCTGGCCCTGAAGAAACTCAAATAGGCTGTTGTTATCATCCTTTTATTTTTATTTATAGGGTCACATAAGGTTGTACCTCCTTTCCTACACAATAATAATATTCATTCATTTCAGATACATGCAAAACATTTCACTCTATTTCTAATCCTCACATATCCCTTTAAGGTAGGTGTTGTTGAACTCATTTTACAGATGAAGAATAGTCTTAGAAGAATAAAATAACCTTTCTTAAGACACATAGTTCAGGAAATTATGGAGCTAGTTTTTGGGCTAATTCCAAAGTTTTCAGCTATTCTGTGCTCTCTTTTTGCAAGTTCATTGAGTGTTTTTGGGTTTTTAATATTTAGCAATTGCTCAGTAAGTTGTCATTTGATATGGTTATTTTCTCCCATGATTTCTGTCATTTCCATGCCACCAGTTTCTACTTTACTTTCAGGAATAAAATCTAGGAATCAAGTGTGTTATTATTCCTTCCTCTAATTTGTGGGAGATGAAAGGATTCATACATCAAAAATTTATCAGTTCTGGGATTCTGGAAAAGTGGCAGCATGGTTTTGCTATCTTTATGAATCCCCATCAAAAACATACAGAAAAGAGCAAAAATCGTAAATGCACAGCTCAGCGAATTTTCACAGTGAACATTTATGTAATCAACATCCAGATAAAAAGAGAACATTCATAATACCTCCAAACCCCCTTTGTTATATGGCGTTTTAAAATGATTCTGCCCAGTGTCAGGCGGGAAAGGATGTCTCAGAAATGACCACCCATAATTTACTTCTTTATGTTTAGAGAATCTTACTTAAATTGTCTTTCCATGTCTTAATTGGAAGGGAAGTTAGAATATTTGAGTGACGTGACATAAATATTGCTCAGGGAGTGTAGTATGGTAGAAAGAGCTCATCAAGTTAGGAGACTTGTGTTTAGTTCAAACTCTGCTGCTGGGGTATTTGGATATTTATTTGTGCAGTGAGTCAACTGAACTAGAACACTAGCTGAGCAGTATTCCCTCCTTAGGAGCCTCAATTTTAGTTCTAAAGAGCTCTTCCTCTAAGATTCTAACTTTTAATAATTTCAACCTGTTTGTTCCCCCCCAACAGAGGTAATTGCTTTCTTAAGTTGCTACCTCCATAGCGTAGTATTTACTGTTTACTTTTTCACAATCTAGTTAACAATTTTATACCCACTTCTTTTAAAAAATACTTGTTTGTTTTTAATCCTCACTGGAGGACATGCTTATTGATTTTAGAGAGAAGGGATGGAAAGGAGAGAGAGAGGTAAAGAAACATTAATGTGAAAGAGAAACATCGTTGGTTGCCTCTTGGACTCTCACTGACCAGGGACCAACCCCACAACCCAGGCATGTGGCAGGGAGTCGAACCCATGGCTAGTCTGCGGGGCGATGGCTCCAACCAACTGAGCCGCACTGGCTAGGGCTACCCACTTAAAAAAAATATCTATCTACTTTATATTAAATTCTCTGTTAAAATAACTATTTTCATTTTTTTGACTGGACTCTGCTACAGAAACCTAGCAGTGGAGTTTAACTTTCTACTTTATGGTTTGCGTACAGGGGCCAGCAAAAATAGGTTTACAGTTGTTCGTAGAGAAAATAATACAATAATTAAATAAAAATATAAGAATACACTCTGTGTTTTGGGTACTTAATACTGTAAACCTTTTTGCTCACCCCTGTATGTCACATTAAGCTATCCGAAGTACTTGCTACCTCCTGCCCAGAGATCCATTCAGTATAATGTCTTCAGTGTAGTGAGCCGGTGTGACGTTGTTGGAGTCTCTTTCAGTATGATCAAAATCTCTGTGGACTTTGTTGGAGAGGAAGAAAGTGCACATAGACCTGGGGCAAGACTGTTATAGTGAACTCAGTCTTGCTAGGTGAAAACGAAGTGTTTCTGGGATTCTTGGCAAATTAATATGAAAAAAAACATTTGCTTACCAGGATACAGGGG